CTGGCACCTGCCTGAGCCTGCGCTCTGAGGCCCCGGGCAGGGGTCCAGGCACGCGCAGGGGCACAGGGCTCCAGAGTTACCCTTCCTCCTCCGAGTCCCCAACGGGGAAGCCCCCAGACCGTCCCCTCTCGGACGCGCGGAGGGAGGTCTCTCTGCTCCCTCGGACTGTTCAGGAACAGACGGCCTTTGCTGAGCCCCCGCTGCAGGCGGCCAGCAGGCAGAAGGCCTGCTCCCAACGCCGATCTCACCCACAGAGCAAACGGGCCCCACGTGAAGTGGGATTAGGGGTGGCCCTATGCCTGGTCATGTCCGAGCAGCATGTGATGGGCGGGACTCAGTGTTCCATGACAGCTCAGGGTGCGGGCGGGGGCCGAGTGCTGCAGCCACAGCCCCCTGTGACCCGTGCCAGAGGGTCTCCGGGGCACTGGGCTCAGCTGGGGGCAGGGCAGCGGCGGCAGGGACCCATCTGGGCCTTCCTGGCCTTCACAGCACTCGCGCTGCGGGCACCTCCAGCCCCGACCCCTCCTGGGCAGCCAAGGGTCTGCCCATCTTCTGGTGTGCACTGACATTCCCGCAGTTCCTGGAAAAACACCACCCGCATTCTGGCCTCTGGGCTTTGGCTCCGGGCGTTCCCTCCACCCGGGGCCCCCTTCCCTGCTCTCAGCTTCGTGCTGATCTGGGTCACTCAGACAGTCACTGGGTCTCCACGAATGCTCACCCCATCAAGGAAGTGCTCCACAGGACTCCTGGCTCCATCACGGTGTCTGTTAGAAATGCCCTGCCTCGGTCAGGGGCCCTGGGGGCCCTGAGTTGCTAACAGGTGTCCCTGGAATACGAGGTTCACCCTGGAGACTCTTACGTCCCCTCCATCCTTACCCCACACCCCACCCCCACAAGCCCATTGTCAGGTAACAGGAGAAATGCGTTGAAGGGGCCAGGGTGGCCCAACCTCACTCTCACAATGAGGAAATAACCATGGGTGGGCTCAGGGTTCAAGGGTGGAGGCTGCCAGGCATGAGGGGAGACAGCACTGGTGGAGAGTGGGCAAGGGTGGGCCTCAGCTCAAAAGGAAAGAGCCAGCACACAGAGACTGGCACCCAGAGGGCCCCAGGCCAAAGCTGGCACAGGGTCATCATAAGAGACGTCAATTTCACATGAAGTAGTAAGCCCCCGTCCCGGGGGCATACAAGCCACAGCACCAGGAGCCAGAAAAGGAGTTGGAACTTGGACAAGGTTGAACAGTGCGTTTAAAGGGTTTCCCTGCAGCTCTCAACATCTGGGCATGGCCCAAGGTCATGGGTAGGACCTAAAAGGGGCCTGTCCCACCCACCCAGGCCATCCCCCCTCGCAGGGCCAATCATTAATGGGCACCGCTCGAGTGACTGCCTGCCCGCCCAGAGTCGGGCTCTGGTCCCGTGCCCGGGGCACCTGCGTGCCTCTGACATGGGCTGGCCTCACTTCCTGCTCGTGACTCCCAGCAGCCGAGCCCTGGCAGGAGCAGGGTGCCAGCTGGGACCACCGTCGTGGCACCCGGCGGGACTCCGCTGGCCCAGGACTCAGCCTGCAGCCAGGGCCCCCTGGCTGAGAGCTGGGCCTTCCTCAGAGGTCAGCAAGGGGCCGGGGAGGGCGCCAGGCCCTGGGCGGGAGCCAGCCTGGTGGGAGGAAGCCCGCCCACTGCGGGCAGAGTGCAGGGGGCCTCAGGGCAGGGGCTGAGCGACCCGGGAGGGTGACGCTCCTGGATATGACTTCGGCCTGGCTGTGGCCGAGGAAGAGCCGGCGATGGGTCGAAAAAGGCCCTCCCCGGCCAGTGGGGAAATCGAGCAAGGAGAGCGAGGCGGAGACCTCCCAGGGTGAGAAGCGGGGAGCAAAGTCCCAGAGGAGGGAAGGGGAAGGGAAGGCAGGTGGCGATGGCTGGAGCTCGGCTTCTGAGAAGGGATGGAGGGAGGCAGGGGTGAGGTATGGCAGGCGCTACTCAGACTCCACGCTAAGAAGCCACTTTCATCCTGGGCAGTAGGGAGCTACTTCAGGTTTCGGGGGAAGGGAGTGACAAGGCTGGGGTAAGTAGGAGGCAGAGGGAGGAACTGACAGCTGCCAGAGGAGAGGCAGACCCCGGGGCAGCGTGGAGAGAGGGGTAGAGACTGTTCCTGCCCAGACGACGGGGCGGTCAGGCCAGCAGGGGAGGCTGAGGATGGAGCTTTCAGGGGCAGGATGCTGAGTGTTCAGCCGGAGGCGCCCACGGTCAGCCTCACCTAGCGGTCCACGGCCGGGGTCGGGGGACGTGCTGGTCTTGACCCTGGGGGAGAGCTGCCTGCGGTGGGGCTGGGAAGGAGCAACCAGAGAAGCAAGAAGAAGCCCATGGGAACCGAGGCCGGCCAAGGAAGAGGGTCGGTCGGCCACACGAAGGTAAGGAACGGCCTAGCAGAGGAGAGGCGGGTTTGATCCCTGGGTGGGGAAGATCCCCTGGAGGAGGGCATGGCAACTCACTCTAGGATTCTCGCTTGGAGAATCCCCACGGACGGAGGAGCCTGGAGGCTACGGCAAAACGTCGGACACGACTGAGTGGCTGATCATGCACGGGGATGACAGGAGGGGGGCAAAGTGAGGGACGCGGACGGCGGGTGGACGTCTCTGCCTGAAGTCTGCCTCTGAAGTGCTCCTGAGAGAGAAACGGGTGAAGCAGAGCCAGAGAGGCCTGATCCCAGAGGAGCTCAGGGCATGAAGAAAGTCGCAGGCAAAGCCTCCCCGCCGCATTGACCCCTCCTTGGCGGTAGGTGCCTCTCTCCGTGGGCAGAGGGCTGGTCTCCAAGAAGGAGCAGCTGGGAGCTGTTAGCCAAGAGCCTTGGAAGCACCAGGGGATGCTCTCAGGAAAAGTGATCTGGGTCCCTGTCGCGGGGGTGGGCCAGTCCCTGGTGGGGGTTGGGGGGCAACAGCACTCCTCTGGGCTTTGCTGGGTGCATCATGTGGAGCCCGGCATTTCCTGGGTACTCTTGGTGAACCTCCCCGCCCGGGGCGCGGCCCTGAGGAGAGGCACAGAGTGGCCAGCTCCCCCTCACCGCCTGTGTCTCAAGGTCCTAAGTGGAGGGCAAGCTCCTACCTCTCTTCAGGCCATGGACCACGTCCACCGAGGTCCCCTTTGCCCAAGGAGGCAGGCAGGGCTATCAGAAGGGGGGGATCTGAACCCAGCTCCCCCGAGTGGCCATGGACCTCCATGTTCTGGGAGCCCCGAGTCTCGGGGGAGGGGGTGCCAGGCAGCTGAGTGGGCACCAGGGCCCAGGCCCTCCCAGCTGCAGTGGGTGTGGAGGCAGCCCCGCCCTCTCTGCTGGCACCGGGAGAGGGGAAGCCGCTCCTGGGTGGTGGGCCCCTCCGGGGGGGGGGCGGTCCCACCCTCCTGGGGCTGCCAGGTGCCACCCACAGGCTGCCCACCGCAAAGGGGCCCTGGGGGTTCCGCTGTGCCCCCCCAGCCCCACACAGGCACTCTGAACCCCAGGAGCTCAGCGCTGGCCTGGGTCCCGGCGGCTGCGGCTCCGCTCGGCAGGCAGGCCCGGGCTCCCTGGGAGGGACCTGCGGTGCGCACACGTTTGGAGGCCCGCCCTGTGCCTGCAGCAGGGGCCTGGGGTCACAGCGCGCCGGGCACTGCACCCCGTCCTCACTCCCCGCCCTCTGACACTCCTGGAGGGGGCAGGCCGGCTCGCCGCCCCCCGCCTCCGCCCCGCTTGTGCAGCAGCTGATTATTAAACACCTACAGCTACCCAGGCGGCGCTAGTGGGAGAGAATCCACCCGCCGATGCAGGAGGTGCAAGACGTGGGAGACTTTATGGGTGCTATTCCTGGGTCGGGAAGATCCCCTGGAGAAGGGATAGGCTACCCACTCTAGTATTCACAGGCTTTCCTGGTGGCTCAGACGGTAGAGAATCCGCCTGCAATGTGGGAGAGCTGGGTTCGATCCCTGGGTCGGGAAGATCCCCTGGAGGAGGGCATGGCAATCCACTCCAGTACTCTTGCCTGGAGAATCCCATGGACAGAGGAGCCTGGAGGGCTTCAGCCCATGGGGTCCCAAAGTGTTGGACATGACAGGCGACTTAGCTCGCATGCAGGCAGGCCCTGGAAGAGGCCCTGGGAGGGGGACCCAGACAGATGAGGAAACTGACGCTTGAGCGCCAGGCCAAAGGTCACACAGCGGCTCCAATTAGGTCGGACTCCGCAAGCCTCACGCGCTTCTCCCTTTAGTCCTGTCTCCTTCCCCGGAAAGTAGGCTTGAGGGAGCCTACCCCTGCGCCGTGGGGAGCAGGACGCATGGACGTGCAAACGTAGTGAGGCTCGGCCCCCTGAAACCTTGCCTGGCTGTCACTGTCGGAGTCCCCAGAGGCCCACTTCTTCCTGGCCCCGACTGCCCTGCACACCCAGCCGCCCTGCTAGCCCTCCAGCCGGACGCCTCCCCGTCCCGTGTGTCCCCTGCGGCGTCCCATGCCCTCTGCTCGCCCTGACCCTCTACAATCCCTTCCACTCTCAGAATCACAGCGGCATTTACACAGCACATCTTGGGGGCATTTCCCATCAAGCCCCCTGCTCACCCCCTGTAGGAGCTGCGACCCTTAGCTCATTTCCAGACACAGACTCAGAGACAAAGTGGGGAGACAGAGCCTCATGCCCAGGACCGCCCGGCGGCCACCGATCTGCAAGGCGGGCCTCTAACCGCCCCCCTGCATCACCCTGCGGCCGGCCTGCCACTCACGTCTGCGCCAGGACACTGCAGATGGAGGGCTCGTGTCCATTCACATGGGCTGGCTCCATTGACACCCCCCTGGTCCCAGAGGTGGCAGAGCCCCAGAGGGCCGGGCAGGCAGAGCAGTGCTGGGACAGCAGAGGAACCAGCCAGCGGGCACAGAAAAGCGAGCGGGAGCGCCGGCCCAGCCTTCTGAGGGCGAGGGTGTGGGCGTGCCTGGCCCCCGGGCACCCACAGCCCGGACGGCAGGTTCCCACGGGCCCGGAGGCACCCTTACCTACTCGGAGCTCTTGCCCGAAGACGGTCTTCTCGCCGAGGGCGGAGCAGTTCCAGCGCCCGAAGCGGAACTGGTACTGGCACTCGTTGATGCCCATCTGCGCCCCCTCCCCGATCACGATGATGGCATCGGGCCGGCTCTGACAGATGGCGCGCTGCCGCGGGGCCAGGCCAGGGATCTTGTTGCAGATGATGTTGGCTCCCAGGGCCACGACGGATGACAGCGCTCTGTGGAGGGAGAGGACCGAGGTGAGACGCCCGCCGTGCCTGCCCTGCCCAGCCTCTTGGGCTGCGAATGCGCGCTCCCGGAGCCCAGCCCTTGCCACGCCCTGCCCTCCAGGGAATGAAGCACAGACCCCTGCCCTCAAGGGGCCATGGCCCACTGACCCACACGTGGGACTCTGTTTTGAAAAGACACGCATGCACCCTCCAAGTCCCCTCAGCCCCGAGTTCACAAGAACGGGATCACAAGGACCACAGAGTCACAAGTCCGACGAATCGACAGTCCTCCAAACACAAGAACCACGCCTCTCTGAACCTCAGAATCAGACACACAGACTGCAGGCCATGAACTTGGGACTGTCCGCGGCTGCCTCCAAGCAGCAAACCCCAACTTCCCCATCACCTGGAGACCCCCAGCTCCCCTCTCCCCCAGGGGCTTGAAGCCAGGCAGGCTGCTAAGGGGGCCGGCCAGGCCAGGGGCCAAGCCCACCGGGTCCTGACTCCAGCCGCGGCCCACGTGTAGCCTGTCTCTCTGAGGCTGTTTTCACACCCTCATTGTGGGTTTGTATAAAACACCTATTCCCACCACACAGGCTCAGACCAGAGAAGCATGGGGGAGAAAGGCCACACACACGGGGATGTCTGTCGTTATTTTTTTTCTCGTTTCTGGAAGACGGGGTGCATGCAGAGGAGAAGATAGGAGCTGGCATGAACTTAGCCCGGGTGCTGGACTTGGCAGGCACTTGACTGTGATAAAGCATCCTCAGAGCGGTACTTCCTGAAAATGCTCCGAGTTAGGCCCCCAGCACCCTGCAGGAACCCGGGGCACTTTCTGGGTGTCTGCCATCAGCCTGACTGTCTGTTTAAGGAGGTGGAATTCACATGGCAGGCACTCTACCAGTTTACAGTCCTGTGGCATCCAGCACATTCCCAATGTTCATCAACCGCCACTGCTACCAAGTTCCAAAGCATTGTCACCACCCCAGAAAGCACCCCCTACCTCTTGGCAGTCACCCCTGAGCCCCCTGGCAGCCAAGACTCTGCTTTCTGCACCTGTGGACTTGCTGGTTCTGGACATTTCATACAGACAGAATCAAACACCACGTGCCCTTTCGTGCTGGCTTTTTTTCAATTAGTACAACCTGTTCAAGGTTCATCCTCGTTGTATCAGGAACTTCCTTTTTCGTGGTTAAATAATATTCCATCGTATGGCAATATCACATGCTGTTTACCTGCTCGGCACTGATGGACATTGGGTTTGCTTCCACGTTTTGGCTCTTGCGAATAACCCTGCCCTGCACACATATGCACAGGTTTAGTTTGAGTCCTCATTTTCCATTCTTCGGGGCATGTACCTAGGAGTGGAACTGTTAGGTCACCTGGGCGTTTGTTTCGCTCTTTGAAGAACCCTCAGACTGTTTCCCACAGAAGCTGCATCGGCCGTTTGACGTTAAGCACCCAGGGACGGGACAGCGAGCTGAAAAGAGGGGAGCTGGTTTTCGCGGGCCCACAGCAATAGCTGGTTTTAAGACGGTGTCTGACTTCCAAACAGCAGACCAGAGGGCAAGAGATGGGAGTGGGGAGGCCACGAGGGGCCCCCCAAAGCCCTTGCCCAAAGCCCTTGCCCAAGCCCTGGTCTCCTAGCACAGTGAGCTGGAGCCTTCTGCCCACGGTGTGCCAGCCCCTTTCTGGACAGGAGCGAGTCAGTGTTTTTCCAGGGCAGCTGGGCACCCACAGCCGGCTGGGAAAGTCCCCGTGGGGCCTGAGCCCACAGCACGTGCTGCGCCCAGGATGCCCTGGCGACACTCAATCTCCGTGGCCCGCCCGCCCCACCCGCTAATCTGGCCAGGACCCCCCTGGGTCTCCCACAGGCACAATGGGCAGAAATGCCCGGGGCTGGCTTGGAGGAAGAGCATCTGGGCAGGCGGGGCTGGGAGCGGGCAGGAATCTGGGGAATTCAGCCCAAAGTAACCGTAGACGCTCAGAAAACCGAGCCGGGGAAACGAGATGGATGGGAACTCTGCCGGGCACCGGCCTCCAGGCCTCGGGTCGGAGCCTGGACACGGAGAGCACATTCCCCATCGGATTCTTCCAGCAGGTTCCGGGCCGCCGAGGGTGAGAACCCCTGCGCTGGGGGCAGGGCTTCAGACAAACGGGGTCTAACAGGACAGACCCGGGGGCAGAAAGAGGCTGTGTAGCTCCGGGCCCCTCCTCTGGGCTGGCCACTCCTCACCCCCCACCCCCCCCCCATCATGCCCCTCAGAGCCCACAGCTCCCCAGGCTCCTTGCCCAGAGCCGGGAGTCTCCCTGGACCCGCCCCCTAACGACCCTGCCACCTCTGCTCCTGCTGGTCCCTCTGCCTGCTACGCTGGTCTCCCTCCCTTTTCTTCCGTCCTGCAAATTCTCCTTCCCTCCCAGGCCCCAGGGCAAGCCCGCCTGGGCTCAAGCACCTCAGCCCGTTCAGTTCAGTTCAGTCACTCAGTCCTGTTCGACTCTTGGCGACCCCATGGACTGCAGCATGCCAGGCCTCCCTGTCCATCACCAACTCCCAGAGTTTACTCAAACTCATGCCCATTGAGTCGGTGATGCCATCCAACCATCTCATCCTCTGACATCCCCTTCTCCTCTTGCCCTCCAGCATCAGGGGCTTTTCCAATGAGTCAGTTCTTCGCATCAGGTGGCCAAAGAACTGGAGTTTCAGCTTCAGCATCACGTGGGCCCGTTGCCCAGGACAAACATGGGGGACACTGGTCTCGTGGACACAGGACCCCTCTGCCCTGGTCTCAGTCGTTATTTCCACACCTGGCCTCCCTCCACCCCAAGACCACCAATGTGTCCAGGGCAGTGCAGGTGTGAGCTGACCCTGGGGCCTCGCAGCTGCCCCCATGTAGCCCACTGCCCCAGTGGGTGAATGAATGGACGAATGAGGAAATACTCAGGGATTGGGACTTCCCTGGTGGTCCAGTGGTTGAGAATCCGCCTGCCAATGCAGGGGACACCGGTTCAATCCCTTGTCCGGGAATATCCCACCTGCCACGGGGCAGCTAAGCCTGTGAGCCACAACAAGAGAAGTCACCGAAATGAGACGCCCACACGCGGCAACTAGAGTCACCTCTGCTCGCTGTAACTAGAGAAAGCCCGCACAGAGCAATGAAGACCCCAGGAAGCCAAAAACAATAATAATAAAGATACTCAAGGATCGTGTCTAAAAGAGCGCCTGCAACTCAGTAACAAGCAGGCAGAGCAATGTGAAAAAGGACAAAGGGCTCAGCCATTTCTCCGAAGAAAGACAAATGGCCCCAGAGCCCGTGGAAAGATTCTAAACATCACTCATCACTGGGGAGATGCAAACCGGAATCACAGTGAAGAGACACCTCCCGCCCCCCAGGACGGCTGCGATCGAAACAACAGAAAATAGCAGGTGTGGGCAAGGACGTGGGGAAACTGGGACCCTCTGCGTCTCTGGTGGGGATGCAAAATGGGGCAGCAGTTGGGATGGTCCTCAAAAAGTTAAATATAGAATGACCACAGGACCCAGCAAGTCCACTCCTGGGTGTATATCCAAAAGAACGAAGCCAGATGTTCAAACAAAAACCTGAACACAAATGCTCGCAGCAGCACCAGTCACAACAGCCAAGAGGAGGAAGTAGCAGAAAGGTCCGTCAGCGGATGAGTGGACAAACAGGATGCGGCCTCTCCAGACAACGGAATATTATTTGGCCATAAAAAGGAATAGGGCACAGATACAAGCTCCATGGATGAACCTCCAAAACACGATGCTTGGTGAAAGAAGCCAGACACAAAAGGCCACGGGTTGTAGGATCCCTTTGATAAGAAACGCCGGGCAAAGGCAAACCCACGGAGATGGAAACAGCTAGGGGAGGGGCAGCGGGGCGTTCCTGCTTCATAGCTGCGGGATTTCCACCTGGGCTGACGGAGAAGTTATGGGCTCGACAGAGGTGATGGCTACGCAACACTGCAAATGCACCAGGCACCATGCAACTGTATGCTTCAAACGTGGAAGTGGAAATTTTAGGTTAGACACAATTTCAAACAATGCTATCTGTACACGGGACTTGCACACCCCGGCCGTGGGTGAGATGTGTGGAAGGGGCTGAGAGGGTCTCGCCCGGCCGACTCCCTGCCTGTGGCTGCTCGTCTGCCTCCCCAGGGTGGGGGTGATGACGGAGGACGAGGATGGGGCCCCAGCCATCCCCCAGATGCCAGCGTGGGCCTTAGAGGTGAGACAAGGGCTTCCTAGGTGTCTCAGTGATAAAGAACCCGCCTGCCAATTCAGGAGACCAGGGTTCAATCCCCGGGTAGGGAAGATCCCCTGGAGGAGGAAATGGCAACTCACTCCAGTATTCCTGCCTGGAGAATCCCACGGACAGGGGAGCCTGGTGGGCCACAGTCCATGGGGTCACAAAGAGTCAGGCACAACTAAGCAACAATAACAAGAGCTTCCGAGAAGAGAGCTGCGTTGCACCCCAGAAGCATAAGTAATCAGATACGGTTGATAATTAAGAAATGATTTCAGAACTGTGTCCTTTAGAACACGGGGACTTTTTCCCCCTAAAGACATTCAATACTCCTCTTCTGAGCACCCACTTGGGCCACACAGGCCTCTGTAGAGTCTCAGCCCTCCATTGGCGGGATGAGCCTTGCCACCCCCACGTGACAGGTGTGCAGACTGGCCTCAGAGAGGCCGGGGACCCGCCCCAGGAGACCCCACCAGGCCTCCGCTTCCGGAACTCAGCAGCATGGCTCGGAGGACAGCGCACGTGCATGCTCACTCAGTCACGTCCGAGTCTTTGCGCTCCCGTGGACTGTAGCCCACCAGGCTCCTCTGTCCATGGGATTTTCCAGGCAAGAATACTGGAGTGGGTTGCCATTTCCTGCTCCAGGGAATTTTCCCCACCCAGGGACTGAACCTGGGTCTCCTGCATTGCAGCAGATTCTTTACACTTGAACCACTGGGGAAGCCAACGCAAAGCGCAGCACACAGC